CAGAAAAAAATAAATATATTTGGACTTCATATTTGTGGTTCTACAAATACAAAAAGTTTCAACTCTTAACTCAAAACTAAAATTCGGCGACCATCCTCCTTTACTTTTAATCAGTAATAGAAACTTTCGGAGTCGAGATTGTCCATTTTCAGCTGCATTTATCGAATATGATCTCATGAAATATATAACCAATAAAAAACAAGAATGAACAACAATGAGATGAGCAGGTAAACAGAATAATCGATGATTTCAAATGCTGATAGAATTCCCTTGTTAATTGAAGGGGTGGACGAGTTTGGATAGTAATTCAAGAAGACACAATAGTCACTCATTACTACTGTACTTATAGTAACATTGGTCAATCCATAGCTAAGCGTACGTTTAAATTCTCTCCTTGAAGTCATGTCATAATTTCCCGATTGCAGAATCGAAAGGTTAGTTTGATTTGCATTCTTCAGAATCATTGAGAATTCTATTGGAACGTTGCCTAAAATATTAGATGCAACTAAAAACTTAATTTTCGAGTCAGGATCGAAACGAGTCAGGATCCTGTCCATCCAAACCGTAAAAAACTTTAATAGGATCTTGAGTGAAATTCATTTTTATCTGAACTTCGAAACAAAAATTTCAAGGAAAACTACATCGAAAGTAAAGAGTAAGTTAAATTATCGACTGGTTTCAGTTTCTTTTCAAAGATTTCCTCTAAAAATTCCAAATTCATTTTCTATCTATTAATCGAATTGTTGTCACAATTTTCACCATTCATTTATGATTTTACGATTAAATGCTTTTAGTATGATTAATTTTCAAATTTTCCATCTTTGATATTAGGTTTTCTACTATTATAAAGACCACAAACCCTACCAACACCTTGATTGATGATTTTTCTCAGTTAGAGACGAAAACATCAATTTATACAAATTATCAAGTATTCTCTGACTGCACGTTAAGAGTGTGTGTTCTTTACTACCTAATATTGACCACGTTCAATGAGTGAGGAGGCATGAGACTTGAATCTTGACTTGATCTCTTTTGCAAAACATTCAATTAAGAAAACTGTTGTTGCAAAACTGCTCAGCGAAAGAGTCCAAGTTAGTATATCGACGATATTTGGAAAAGCAATTGGATGGTATGAACTTCTGGCCTGTAAACTTGAGTCTCTAATGTGATTGCATTGACCGTCGGTCAGTTTGATGTCATAATATGTTCTATGAAATATTCTTAAAGTCCGACCATAAGCTAAGCGACAATATCCGTTCTCTATACAAGAATAAGATCTCTTGATGAGCCATCTCTTTTTTTCGTCCATCAAATACTTATTGTAAACCAATACCGAACTCGTTTCATAATAGGTGAGTGAACTGGAATGAACATAGAAATTTTGTCTTTTCTTTAAAAGTCCAACTCTACAAAATGTGTAAATCAATAGACTATAAAAGGAACTTGACTCGAAAATACTTATTAGATGTTTATCAAAATTTTCTTTCAAGTATTGTTCTAGTTTCTGTAGGTTGATAGGAACTATCGGATTCGATTTACCAAAATAGATACTCGAATAATAGAAACAGTCGAAGTTTTTGAAGGCAACACATTCAACTTTAGAACGAGAGAGTAGATCAGGAAGTTTGGTGATTGGCTTCGGGCGAAATATTATCGAATATTCTGTTGTAAAAGATGTCGAAAGTAGATGTAATAAATAATGGATAGAGAAACTGAATGATATTAAAAGTAATAGACCAAAATGACCACGAATTTTAAACAGAAACCAATTGTTTAAATATCTTCGATACTTGATGAACTTGTATGAATGAGAGCGGATGAAATATATTATAATTCCAAGGAATGATAGAAACATAATAAAGACATAAACTTGGTGATCGATAATCTCAAGTGAAGATAATAATCCTTTGCTAGTTGAACCAGTTGATGATTTTGGGTAAATGTTAGTGAATTGACACCATTGACTGGACAGAACTGGACTCAAGGAAATGTTTTCAGGTATCGCCTTGAAAAAGTTTAGCACAAGAGGTGGGAAAAGTAAATCATTCTGATTTGTTCCGATAGCGTCTATGAATGACATGTTACACATTTCACTTTTCAAGCAAGAAGTCCAGTTAACGGAAACATCACTCAAAATATTATATAAATAAAGACTGAGACGAACTCTGATCAAAGAATTGGATAAATCGGTATTCGGACTGTGTACTATCAAAGAGTTTCCACTAAAATTCATCTTGTCAACGTTGTGATGAGTTTCCACTCACCGCAGTTTATTAAATGCTATAAGTGAGATCGATGAGATAATAGTTACGAACTATATTATTAATAGAATTGGACAAATTTTATAATGGGAAAAGTTTCCAAATTAATTGCATAATTTTCACATAAGAATTGTTGAATAACTGTTATTTAGAATCTATTGTCAATTTATATCATTTAATTCATCAAAGATTGTACATTCTAGTTACTAACAATTCTAACGGAATCATTTATCGTTCCTAATGGATAAATTATACGACTATTAACTGTAACACTTAATGTTTTAAGCTCTTTCTCTATGCTCTTTATTGTACTAATATTTGACATTTCAACTTTAATCCCAAGAAAATAATTCAATGAAATTCACTTTTATTATTACAATAAATTGTTTTTTGTTTTCATTCTCAGGGACTTTTACTATCTCAATGAACGTTATGGCGTCGAAGATGAAAACTTTCACCGAGACGAAGATGTTAACGCTTACAATAATATCGTTGCTGAATATGGATCTAGAAAAAGAAGCGGATAAACAAAATGAATATCAATTGGATCGAGTAAGCCCATGGGTTCATTTGATGGTCTATCAATTTGTTCTATTCAAACCGTAGGTTAATTAGATAATTTTCTCAGAAGTCCCTCGAAATATTTTAAATATTTATAACTTTTTTTCAAGTTTTGTGAATTTGTAATTGTACAAAAAAAATAACTCAATCTATTCGAAATAAAATCGTTCTTGCTTTATTAATTGCCTCTTTCGACATCCAAGCCTTTAAAAACACTAGAAGAAATATTAATATTTGAATAGTTCTTACAAATCAAAAGTTAACTGGACAAAAGTAAAGTTACTAATTTTTCTCTTTTCTTCTTTATTTTGTTAATTATTTCTCTGTTATTATTATTTCTGTATACAGATGATTTTTTATTTAAAACGACCTAAAGTATCAATCGAGCTTCTAGTATGAACGAGACTAAAGTGATCAAGGGATTTTATTATTAGTCACATTCAGCTTTCTAAAGGTTTCCAAAAACCAAAGGATATTGATTTGTCAATTTCATGGTAAGATGTTCAATGATAAAAGCGAAAAACGCGAGAAAATTAAGTGACACATAAAGATACAGAAAATCAGAAAAATTAGAATAGTTAATTGGTCGATATGAACTTTGAGGGTGAGTATTCAGCTTTTCGAAGTGGCAACATTGTGGGTAGTATTTTCTTATCGAAGGAGCATAAAACCTGCTTATCATTCGGTCTACAGTGGCAGACCAAAGTCCTTGACCAATACCTGCATATGAACATTTAATTATCCAACGTTTCTTATGAGGGTTCGTGGTGTTATAAATGAGTGCATACAAATCTTCATAATAATAACGTGTTCCAATATGATAGAGAAAATTATTAACTCCGTTCATTTGCATCTTTACAATACAAAGATTTTTTAACAGTGATGATACTCCAAAGTCTGTACCAAAATGTGTTAAAATTGGTTTATAAAGATTTTTGGGAAAATATTCAAAGATTTCATCAGTTGTAATAGAAATTAGGGGATTTGATAAACCATATCTTTCATTTGCTCGCTCCAGGCAATTGTACCCGGCAAAAGTAGTACAATTAACTTTGGGACGAGAATACAAGTCAGACCATTTGTTGACTGGTGTTGGTCGAAGGGATATCAATAATTCAGTCGTGAACGATGTTGAAAATAGATGAAAATGTATTGAACAGAAAATGAACAAGAAAGAAACAAGAGTAAACCAAATTTACTCTTAAACAGCAATAGAAACTTTTGGAGTCGAGATTTATTAATATTCTCGTTTCTATCTCCAATTATCGAATTTGATCTCATGAAATATATCACTGAACCGAAAATAAACAACAACGAGATGAGAAGGTAAACAGAATAATTGAAGATTTCAAATGCAGATAGAATTCCCTTGTTAATTGAAGGGGTGGACGAGTTTGGATAGAAATTCAAGAAGGCGCAATAGCTACTCTTAAACACCGGACTTAGTGTAACATTTGTCAATCCATAGCTAAATTCACGGATGTTTTTTGTCCTAAACATCAGGTCATAATTTCCCGATAAAAAAATTGAGAGGTGACTTTCATTGTTACGTGTCTCTGGAATAAATGAATATTCTATTGGAACGTTGCCTAAAAAATTAGAAGCAATGAAAAAATTAGCTAAATAAGCTTTCGGGAGTGGCCTCTCTTCGTAATCGGTGTAGAAAACTTTAAAAGGATCTTGAGTGAAATTCATTTTCATCACCTCTATACAAACCTTTCAACAATTTAACAAAAGCATAAGCTAAAATGAACGAAATGAAATCATTACAATTGAGAGTTTTGCTTAATCAAATTTAAAAAAACTACTGAAGGTATAATTTGTTTTGAAAATTTTCTATCCACATTTTATCATTGATTAAATTGTCATCTAAAATTCCATCAATTAATTATGATTTTACAATTAAATAAGATAAATATCAGCAATATCTTCTGTCATCAATTGATAATTTATTAGACACAATTTCATTGTAAATGTCTAAATCTTTTAAACAGGTATGTTTTTTAATTATTAATATTATCTTCGATTGCCTTTCTATTAATGTCTTCATATTCAGAACCAGAGCCAGAACCTGAATATTATGTTAGTGCAGCTGAAAATTGACAAATAACTTTAATTATTGATTATTCAATAAATAGTCCGTTTTAATCATTTAAATTTTCACAAATGATAGAAAAATTTATGAGGATTCTAATGATATTAAATAATAGTAAATCCGATAATTAACAGAAAATTAACAACTATTTTAAGACTAATTGTTGGAAATTATTGAAACCTTAAAGCTAGAAAACAATGTAAAGCACTTCATAGATAACCATTACTAATGAAGAAAAATGATTGATCATTGACTAATTGTTTCTTCAAATTGAAAAAATTAGAAAAATAATAAAGTTAATTACAATTTTTTCATACCATCAGGTAAGGTATGAGTGGTAAAGTTTGGCAGTAATTGAATAATTCTCTGTTCTTAATTTTACTAGTATTTGACATTTCAACAAAATCCAAAGAAAATTATTCAATGAAATTCACTTTTATTATAACAATAATGTGTATTTATGGTGCTCGAACTTGGCATCAAAAAGTTAAACGTTATATCTTTGTGAATGAGTTTCATGTAAATTAATATTAGATGTATATTTGAAAATTGTTTTTCGATAAATGTCCATTAAAGTTATTAGATGATAAGTTCGATCTGGTAAAACTTCATTATTTTGACATTTCTTGGTCCAATGTTGTAAGAGATACAACCTCTGATATCGAGTAAATTGATCGACTGTAACTCCATCTTTTTAAGCCAAATCCAATTAGAACAAAAGTTAAAATCAATACAATCGTTAACACCAAATGTCGAACCAAGTGTGATGGGTTTTGAACATAATTCGTGGTACCATTGTAATTTTGAAGTTTAATGTGAGTAGAATTGATCCTTTTCGATGTTTCTCCAATTATGTTATTTTGCTCCGGTTTAGTTTTCTCTACAAATTCTTACCAATTCAAAGTTATAAGAATCATTGTTAAAATTAAATGGAAATCACGTCTTCGAATTAGTTTTTTCGCTCCTTACCTTTCTTTTTCTTATCTGGTGCCATTGGGACAATGGCATTTTCGTATTTTGATGTCCAAGCATCGAGAATTTGGAAATGTGAATCACTGACAAGGAATTTGATGCCCCGTAAGGTGAATGCTGGTTTCAAGAGACTGGCTAAAGGTGTTTCTTTGGTAAATGAAGCCAAAGTATCATGGAAATTATTGTAAACTAAACAAACAGTTCCAATTGAATCTTCATGTGGAAGTGGTTGTCCAGTAGAAAGCCTGATGCAAGAATTAATTTGCTCAGAATCACAACTAATTACATAGCTCGTATCGTGTCTTTCAGCTTGTTGGATTAAACAATCATCATCGTTTTCTGCATCAATAGAATCAAATTGTGCTAAAGTATTGCGATTAAATTTACGATATGATTTCGAGTGTAAATCTGAATTAGTAAAAAGACAATAGATGAATTATTAATGGTTGAATATCAACAAGGTAAGAATGTTACTTACTCAATAGATCGATTGCTTCTGCTATTCTGATTGTTGCATTGATGTAAATCTTTGAAGGGGATGTTAAATTTATCGAGATGATCCGTAGAAATGAAATGTGCAAGAAGTTGCTGATAATTCGTATAAGAGATTTCTCAACCTCGATAAGATTAGGCTCTGATTCTGTATCATTCAAATTATCTATTAGATGAATTTACATAAATCATATTCCATAGATGCAAAGAAATAATAGAAAAAAATTGGATGAAAAAGTTCTAAATAAGTAAAATTTAGTACTCACCAGTTTTTGCTATTTTCAGGTTCAGAGTAATATTAGCAATATTATCACTATCATCGTAACAATTACTGAGTAACTGTTGGTGTCTACGTGATGCTGATGAACGAATCCCATCAATATTCATAGTGAAATTGAAAAAGCTTCTTACTTGTGATATTTTCTGATGAAGTTAAGAATGAAATTAAGTTAATTCGAAGATCAAAATCCAATATTCCCACTTACTTTATTTTCATACATTGGATATAAATCTCTGGTCGCATAGACCAGAATATAACCGGAAAAAGTGTCTTCGTCATTGATGGTAACATGAAATTTTTCCTCATATGATAACTATTACGAAATATAAGCCCAAAGGTTAAATATCGTTCCGATTATTATTCATCTTGAACTTACCTTTTCAAGCATATATAAAGTTGTAGAAATATTATTATAAATAATATCGTTTTCAGTTTTGTCAGATTCAACCGCTCTCCAAACATTAAAGGTAATATTTTTCGGCTCCCATGACTGAATGAAAACAATCAAGGTAACTTCATTAGATTTCATTAATATTCAAATGAAGGTGATAATAAGACTTACGAGTAGATATTGTCCTTTGTAATCGTATTCTAAGTCAAGCCAAGCGACTTTATTGAAGCTCAATTGACTGTAGGTCAAGGTGATTGTGTCACTATCGATGGGAATCGGTTCAACTTTGCACTTTCGACCATTATCCTTATTAGTACCTAGAACGTACTTGAGTCCAAGACGATAATCATTGATTGATTCCATGAGAACCCCACCTTGAAATCTTTTGATTGAAGAAATTTCCTCCAGAGTTTCGATAATAAACTTTATCCAATAAAAAGTAGAGACGATAAAGAAAATTATAATAATTCAATATTTGAAATTGATTATTTAGAATTGATTACAAGGGATAAAAAAATCATGTTTACCTCACTTGTTGATTTTAATCCAACTGATTGATCAACGAAAGTCTCAGATACATTTACATGATATTCTTGAAAAACTTTACTCCCTGGAAACTTTATGCCATGGTGAAAAAGGTAAGGACAGTTAACTTCAAGAGGAGGCTATTCAAATGAAAGTAATTCAATTCTCAATGAGGATTAAAAAATTACCATAATGATTATCAACTCATACCTGGATGATTTTTCTCCCCGTAGAAAGTTTTGTCACATTTATATCAAAAAACCTCAATTGAAAATAATCTTTCTTAATATTGATTTCTTTTAATTGTGAAAAGTTAATAGATTCCGATCCAGTATCACCTTGAGAAAAGGAAAATTAAAGAAAACTAATCATGAACTCGCCCTGAACAATCCATCTATGGTATTAGGTATTTAGAAAGACTTACAGGTAAAAGTCAGGGTAATTCTCATGTGTTCAAAGTTTTTCTTCATAATATCAGGAATAGCTAAAAGTAATGTCTTCCGTCTCGTGTACGAGTTACAATATTCATAAACCGTTACCTGGAAAAGAATTAGGTAAATACATTATTCATTTACTTTTTTTGTGTTAGTAAAAAAATTCGTAATTATAATGATTCTTACATTCTTAAAATATTTGGTGACCATGAAGTAGAAAAAGTAAATACCATTCAGCATTTTGTTCATTAATTTGTTTTCTGTTTCCTGTTGGTTCGCATCATTCATATCCACACAGTTTTCTCCTAAACAAGGATAAGAATATTAGTTAAATCGATAAACAATTGAGTTGAAACTTACCTTTGATAATTAAATGTTTTATATTGGTGTTATTCAAGTTATGATAAACTGTTATTTCTTCAGACCGATATAAATTTTTAAATTCAGTCAAACCGTTTGCATCCCCTAAAGAATCACTGATTATCATTATCTCAGAGAATGAGTATTGTTCAGATTGGCTAGAAGAGTATCGATAACCATAATTTATTAGACCTTCGATCTCGAACTCTCCTTCTGGTATGGTGACTGATACTAAAATTTTTCATCACAACAATTAAAATCAAGTTAAAACAAAAGAAAACATTTAATAACTAAAAAGGTTCTTACCTTCACCACAGTTAATGAAATTAATCATGTAAAAGTACAAAATTATAAGCACCATTATGGACATTCTGATTAACTTAACCTTGCCTTTCTTGAATCACTCAGGAATGTAACAATTATCAAACTTGACTAGTTTGAAGACAAAACCAATTAACAATTACTCAATCAATTTAATTAATTGTTATGATGAAATTGAGATGTCTTCATCTACTTACAAGTTTGATCTTAATTATTCATCCATTTTCTAGATTTAATTGGGCGAACTGGTGTTAATTATTTCCGTTCACATGAAAGACAAAGGAAATGATGAAAATGTAGCTTTAATTTAAACTCTAATTGGGCTGATCAAAAATCTTCACTGACAAGTAATAATGGTGATCGAGCTGATCAATTTTCTAGATAATTTTTGTTTACCTCCAAATATGCTTAATAGGATTGGTAATAAAACTAGACCATGAAGAGCACCAATGATAACGATACCAAAATACATTCGAAATAAAAGACAACGAAAATTTGAGATGTCGACCAGGCGAGAACCAGAATACCAGCAAATTTGGTCAATGTTATACCGGAAAGAACCGAGGATCCCATTGATGCAAGTGCCTCTTGTGACCTTTCCTTTCGGGTCTCCTCTTAACGAGTACCTCGTTCCTTAATAGATGATAATAAGAAACCTCATAAAGATTTAGCAATACATTATATGTCTTATTATCTGATTTCCATTTAGAATATTAGAAATTCAATAATTTTAATGACCATGAAACCTATTAGATTTAATAACATCTAGTCGACCTCAGAATTACATCTAGCTGAGTCGTAGATGAATTCGTATCATTCTAAAATGTGATACAAATTCAGTAATAAATTGATTATAATTGCCGAATTATATTAATAACATATTTCGTTTTAATCATTTGTTCATAAAATAAATGTTGTACGAACATATTAATACATGTATCGATAGATAAACGCGTTTTCATCGTCTAAAAGTTCAATGAGCGTTATTTTCACCCGATTAGATTAATGTAAACCTGAAACTGTTAAGACATCACGATTTTTATTATTTCATTTGTTTATATTAATACTTCAGAATATCAATACAATAAAACAATTTTATGTTTTGTTTGATGACAATTCATTAATTTGTAAAGTAATCCAATAATTTTTTATTTGAATAAAATTATTATTCTCAATACATTTATGATGATGTCACATGAAATGATATGAATGATTGTCCCTTTCATTCAACTCGTTATGATTATGTTGAATTTCTTGATTGTTATTAAGTTTTCTATCAAATGAATTCAGTATTTTAACTCGAAACTCTTTGTAAATTTTTACCATCGAATTTATTAATAACATAAAAAATATGGTAACGACAAACTACAGATATTTCTTAAACTCTGGACTAATATAAGTGTAGAACAGTTTAATTATCTCGCAATTCCAACATGGATAATATTCCTGTGATTTAATTGAAGTGAAAGTCAGCAATCAAATCGATCAAAATAAAGAGTAGAAAAAGTAAATTTTTCATCATATTTTCAATCGAAACTTGGAAATTGATAATTTGAGTGAGTGAAATTGATATTTTATTTCTTATTGGAGATACTAATGTCTCTTTAATGTTCGAAATGTTAGACATTTTATCCATTTTGATTTCTTTTTGTGCCGATTTTGTAAGAAAAAGAAACAAAAAATGCAATCAACGTCTTCGATTGTCTTTCTATCTCCAGATCCAGAAACACGAAACTGAATATTTTAGTTCAGATTTTAGTTTGGTTAAGTTTTTATCAGAAAATGAATTTTACTCAAGATCCTTTAAACGTTCTAATGCTTTTTAATCCATCCAGTCCATATGTAAAGTTATCCGAAGAATTAACTCTTGAGAATATCTTGAGTCGTGTTCCTATGAAATTTGAATATCTAAAAGATATAAAAAGTGATAATGAAACTTTTGATGACGTTTTAAAATCGGCCAAATATGATATTATTTTTCCAAAGGTAACGCCGTTCTTTTTTCGACCCGATGATGATTTGGCATTCGGCCCGGTGATAGAAAGTAGCGAATGTATCTTCTTGAATATTTACCCAAATTCATCAAGTAGTACGATTGACAAGGGAATCTTATCATCGTTTGAGTTCATCGAATATTCAATTTATATTTTCATGCTTATCCTAATTATCCTTGCACTGGTAATATATTTTACTCGATTGGGCTACTTTATCTCTGAGAAATCTTCATTTGATCAATTTCTCGTAATAATCAAAGGTAAATTTGGATTATTCTTGTTTCTTACCTGTTCGTTTTCTGTTCACTACATTTTCCATCTATTTTCAACATCGTTCACGACTCAGTACTCGATATCATTTCGACCACCTCCAATAAACAAATGGCCCGACTTGTATTCTCATCCCAAAGTTAATTGCACTGCTTTTGATAGTCTATGTTTCAAAAGCCAATAAGTCTTTCGGTGACCAAAATCCAATCGTCACAATTAAATCAGCGGCAAAACATTTCCGAGAAAATCTTAATCGACCAATTTTGGTACATTTCGAAAGTAGTGCAATACACCGTCAGGTAATTAAACTCTTTTGCCAAGAAAAGCTTGATAAAAGGAATAGAACCGATTTCCTCGTCCACATTAGCTCAAGTTCCTATTACACAGAACTGACCTCTCTGGCCTATGCTATGAACACGAGCCTTAATAAGAAACGTTGGATCATCAGATCTTTATATTCATGCGCTGAACAAGGATATTGTAGTGTTGCTCAGAGTAGAGCAGTAAAAGTGGCTTCAACTAAATATCTAACAGTAGATTACCCACCATGTTGGCGATATGAGAAATTGAGTGCTACACCTGATGGTGCATATGAACCGATCACTTATTCCAATTATGCTGATTTAATTAAGCTCTTTGTAGCACTTAATATTCTTGCATTGATTGTCTTTTGTATTGAATGTTTCGTTCATCAAATGAAACCCTCGATTTAATAACCAACACTCTTGAAACTTATATTATCAAAATTTAAATCAATCGAATATAAAATATTTCTGTTCGAAGCAATTTTTATTCTCAATTAATATCGAATATGTTCAACGAATATTAATAAAAATGTAATTACAGTTGACCTTAAGCGTGAATGTGGAAGTATTAATAATTTGTCTGATTGATTTGCTCGTTAATATTAATCTGAACTCGTTATTATCGTTGGATATCATTTGCGCATTATTTGAGCATGTATAGCTCCTGATGCTAATATTATTAACGCTGACTCGTGTAAACAATGAGCTATTTCGAGAAATTCAGAGAAATTAACACCAGGAAAGCCATCGGCTGAACAAATTTTCGATCAATAAGTGAAAATATCACATGTTCCTTCCTCAGTTCCAGATATTTGGAAATGTTTACAAATTTCTAGAAGAAGATTTTTCTCAAATTCTGAGGCATCTCTTATGTAGATCATCTTAGGTGATAAGGTCGTTTCGCGATGGCTTTTTAACATGTGCCAAAGAAACCTGAAATTCACCATCACTCACTATTCGTCCAGAAAAGTCTTCTTCTGCCATCTCAATCGATCGACGGCAAATGTCCAATGCTTTACGAGCATCTCCAGAAATCGAAGCAACTTTCCTCTTCTTTGCACACCTCTAACAGTAGCTGTTTTACCTGTTCCAGGAACACCAGCACGATAAAGACACTTTATTAAGAGAAAAACGAAAAATAAAAAAATTAACATTGAAAGAGAAAATAAAAACCAAGCTTACCCTCCAGTTTGAACAGTAAATTGGGTGATAATGAAATTATACAAATTGTCAAACTCATTCTCTCTACAAGGTAATTTATATTCTTTTAGACTTGCTGAGCTTCTTAAATTTTTGGCAGCAATCTTAAACTTTTCCATAGTTACAAGATGAAATTGAAAAAAAGCCATTTCTCTGATCAGCTGTTTTGGATACAATATATTTGGTCTGAATCAACGCACAATTACAAACGATATTTTTTAATTAAATACAAATTTTATTAACTTATTACACAAATAATTATTTTTACTACAATTTTTTATTTCATTTCAATTCATCAAAACTTTACTAAAATAAAGAAAATATTAAACTAACCACTATCTAATTCTTGTGTCTTTTTATAATTGAAGAGTTGATTAAATAAACAAGATGATTCGAGAAGGTTAAATTATTTAAATCAACAAAGTGAACTGACCTGATTAATTATATTCAGTTAATTAGTTAATTCATCTGCTAATTGTTAAATTACTATTTTTGCTTTTGAAAATCAGCGCCTCTGATGCCTTTTGAAATGCGACAAATTAATTAAATCAAGGTTAATAAAGAAAAACAATAATTAGTGTAAGAAAATGTTTGTGATTTTTAATAATAATCATTGTTATTATAACAATTTTTTTCTCGTATTTTAATCAAATTTTTTTCAATAAAATTCAATTGATTTCATTATCAAAATTAGCAAATGTTTTGTCATTTAAAAATCAGCGCCTCTGATGCGCGTTCTCCAAAATTACTCCAGATAGACAACAACGTTAATTAAGTTGTGTCTATTAGTATGTTGATTGATTATTATTCAATGGAATATGTACACTAAATAGAGAGGTGAATTTGATAATTTCTAATTGCGAAAAAACTAAATCTAATCTAATTATCTAAAAATATTGAATGATATGAAATAAATAATGCTTAATCAACAGCTATCGCGGTTCAACACTTTGAACTTTGCGCCAAAAATTTTCGAGAAAAAGAAATAGGCTTGGAAAGTTCACTGTAAATATTGAAATTATTATTAGGTAAATACTGCAAAAAAATGAATAGATAAAATTTTCTTACACAATATTGCGATCCAGTATAACCGGAATTTCATGATCAATCATTTGGTTGACCACTTCCGCAGCAGTATCGGTGATCATTTTGGCCATCGGGTTATTAAAAACCATAGTATTTGATTTAATCGCGTTGAACGGTTGACCGAAAGAGTGTACATCTCTTCGAAATTTTTCCAACTCAACAGTGACCGCAGGAACTTTATGGTTATCTGCTGATGCCAGTTCTGATTCACTGTCAGAACCAGTGAATGAATGAATGAGCCAACTTCGTGAACCCTTGTAGCTCGCATAGCACAAGTATCAGGCCAATGTCCAGTTAGAGTTGAGTAAATCCCGTAATGTGAACTGCGATCGTTACACACATAACGGGCATAGCACCTGGTAATGTGTCGAGCCTCGTCCTGGCCAGCTTTACCAGCAGCAACGAATGTGCTGTTACAAATGCAACCAGGATACCGACAAGTTCTATTGGTATCGAAGAATGTTTTTGCCCAAGCGTTTAAGGTCTTTTGTGAGACACCAGATTCTTGCTCAACGACGAACACTTGGTAACTGTACTTACCGAAGGAATTGTCTCGCTTCTTTTTTATTTCATGTTCGTTTATGTTACAATTAGTGAAGATCCTGACCACAATAAAAAAAGTTAAATAATAAATACTAATTTAATTAAAATCCTTATGATCAGTAAACTTACCAATTTTCAAAAGAGTTATCCTTCTTCGATAGTGTTTTCTTTTAAAATTGAAAACATTTTCAGAATGGCCGAAATCGAGATTGCTGCCGATAAATCGGCGTTTGATTAAATTTTGATCAATACCACTAGCTCCAGCGGCTTTTCGT